ATCACAATACTATTAAGATTATTCCTACAACTCATTTATCATTAATGGTAGCCCCTCCATATCAATAGATATGTGGCATCCCCCCATGTGTTAAGCATCATCATGCAATTATACATTTACATACACATAACATTCATACATGAGTTGGAAAAGTCAATTTACCATATTAGCATACTTCTATCTCACATGACTCCATATTCATCAATATGGTTTCAATTCATGATCAAGTCCATTACTTATCATTCATATCATGTTCAAGCATATTTATTCACAAAAACATGATTTAAGCATTTAGGTAATCTCATGCATAACCTACAAGTTGTAAGCAACTAGATGTCGGTCCTCACCTCAAATGAGCTTTAAAACTTTCCTTCTCGATCCAATGACCAAAGCCTCGGCCAAGGAAGATTGAGAACTGGTTCCTTGCTTGAAAATGGGTGTCAAACAGCCTCCTCAAAGTGCTAGTTCAACCCTTAATCGTTGGTACGAAAACAGCCCCTAGAATGGGTGTTTTCCGGCTAATTCATTTCCTAGTTTTCCAAGATTTGCTCTAGGTTAGTATCTAACCTTTACATAAATAATAATAACTTTATAAGGACATATTATACACTTGGAGTAGTGTATAATAGTCCCACCAATCGTTCATATCATTTGGAAAATGAAAAGGAAGGTTTTGGATTCAAACTTACTTTGAATACAAAACTGTATTCTGCGAGGTAGCTTCTGCCTTCGGTGATTTGGGAGCCTTAAACTGCTCCGTTTGCTGCAAAACAGACCTTCACGGATTCCTCGTCTTGATAGCTTTCTTTTGGTATCTTATACGCCTAAATTGGACGAGTTAATCGCAAGTTATGGCTCAAACAATCAGCACTACGCACTGAAGAACGAACTTGCGGACTGCTCTCTTCCTTCCTTCTCCCTTGGGTTGTGTGGATGCTTTTTGCTCTCTTATCTCTTTGGGGTTCGAATGGGGTGTAGGGGGGAGTGTATAGGAGACCTTAAACCTGCTAAGAGAGCATGTGGCTCACAAAAGAGCATGGGAGGTATTTGGTTTGCAATCAAATATGGGGTGGACCTCCCCCTTTTGTTTTTCTTGGAGTTTTTTTGTGCATGTGAGCCAAGAGTCCGCCCCATATAGTCATCTCACCTCTTTTCCTTTGTTTTGCAGGTACCAAGTCCATGTGGAATGGTTCCCAATTGATCCCATTCAACTTGTGGTCCAAAATATCTATCAATACTTCCAAAAATGGGAAGATGGGTCCTATTGTTTTATCTTTTGTCAAAGATGTCTTTTTGTACTCATCCTAACTTATTTAGAACAAGTCAACTTCCTCCATCACATTATTGATCTCCAATATGTGTAGGCTCATCTCAATAATTTACTTGATGGATATTATAGAAGGAAAAATCCTACTCCCATTATTTAGCTCAATAATGTCAAAGATGGGATCATATGCGTTTGCATTAATCTCAAATCATCCTATCACTTATTTCGACATTTGTCATCCATATTACTGGACTACTAGCCGTGTGGGTCACCCCCGAGTGGGCCTACGACGCCGTTCTCGAATACTTGCTATTTTTAGCAGGTTGAGCCCAAAATAAATGTTTGGACCGCCCGACCTTCCTCAACCTGTCTTGAAAGGTTATGTAACATTATTAAGGTAATGTTGGGCTCTTATGTTCATTAATAAGGCCCGAATAAGTATTTGTAAAACCCGACACTAATATACGAGTTTGAACAGTACGATCTTCAATCATGCACTACGTAAAACATTTGTCGTCTTACAATTGTTTGGAAATCGGAATTTCAATACATAAACTTGAAATTTAAATTGAATTTTCAAGGACGTCTGGGTGCGGTGTCACACTACTGCTCCTTTATATTTGGTTCATTCTGATGTATGGCAATCTCCTGTTTTATCTGCCAGTGGCTTTAAATACTATGTTTTGTTTATTGATGATTTTTCTCGTTTTACTTGGTTATACCCTATGCGCAATAAAAGTGAAGTTCTCAAACATTTTATCCATTTTAAAGCAATGGCTGAAAATCTTCTCCACTCTACGATTAAAATTTTTCAAAGTGATGGAGGGGGTGAGTTTGATAATCATGGTATGCGTAATCTGTTTTCTCAGCATGGAATTTTGTTTAGAAAATCGTGCCCTGACACACCTGAACAAAACGGCGTGGCTGAGAGAAAACACAGACATCTCTTAGAATTGACTCGCACTATGCTTTTTGAAGCAAAAATGCCTGCCAAGTTCTGGGTAGATGCGGTTTTTACTGCTACCTATATTATTAATCGTCTCCCCACTCCAAATTTAAATGGCTTATCTCCTTTTGAAAAATTATTTAATCATCCTCCTGACTTCTCTTTCTTGCGTATTTTTGGGTGTGCTTGCTTTCCCAACTTCAATGCCACGTCTGCAAACAAACTTTCACCACGCTCTATTTTGTGTGTATTTTTGGGCTATGCTCCTGAGTATAAAGGTTACCGTTGTCTTGATCCCCTAACTGGACGAATTTACATGAATAGAAACGTTAGATTTTTTTAAACCTATTTTCTATATACTGATCTCATTTCTTCTAAACATGAACCCAGTGCTTCGGTGTCCACTGCCCTGCCACAAGTCTCCAGCCCCTTACTTTCTTCACTCCCTCTCATTTTTCACCAGCAACCCACGACCAGCACACCTTCCCTCCCACCGGACCCACCAATGACCCATTCTTACCCAGTTGATAATTTTTCCCACCAATCCACTCCCATGCTGCATAGCAGTATTGATACCTCTCGGATATCCTCCCCACAACAGCTCTCCACACCTCTTGTCTCATGCCCACCTCCCCCGTCCGCCCCGAACCCATATCTGACCTTCTGGTCCGCAGAAGAAGAAGACATGGTGGAAAAAAAAAAATTAATTCTGGCTAAACCTTAATGCTCTCGATACCATGTGAGAATAATGGAATGGCGTACCTAATGTGGTAGCCCTTGGGTGTGTATATATATGAAGAAGTGTTTAGAGTACATTAGGAAACATAATACAATAGGAATCCTAATACAAGTAAACTAGGAAATAATAATTACTCTATAATTACTCTATTAATACCTCCGGCCCTGTGTATGCACACGATACACCATTTACCATTTATCATACACGTACAGTATAGTATGAATGCTTGAGATTAAAAGTATGCTATCATAGATGTTTTTATGTTCAGCTTTTTTATTTCTTATGAAGAAGATTTTGTTGAAGAAATTTCTTATGAATAAGATGATAACAATTACTCCGTGATATCTTCTTAACATCTAGATAGGGAACAATTTAGATATGAACTTCCATCCTAAATGGTCAACACAATAGGAGGATTATCTCATATCTTAATATAGCCCTTTATTAAATCTAAATTTTCCGATGTGGAACTTTAGCACCTCTCCTCACTATCAGACACTTCGTCTGGATCGTGCTGTCATTCATTTTTTTCAACACTTCATTACTGTCATTTTTTTCAACACTTCGTCTCAATTTTATAGCCATCGTCATTTTTCATAGTGGGGCCACACCGTGGTTATGGACCAATTTGGCTCTGAAACTAAGTTCAGATATGAGGTTCTATCATAAAATGTCAACTGATAGGAAGAGTAATCCAAATATTAATATATTACTACTTTATTACATCACAATTTTCCGATGAGAGAATTCAACTGAAACACATTTAATACTAAGTTTATATGAAGTATATATATCTTACATATTTAAATACTACGTAGCATATACGTCATCCGTCCCTATTTAATCTTCTCACTTTCCTTTTTTGGACGTCTCTTAAAAAGTTCTCTTTCATTACTTGGTAAACAAAACAATGCATAATAATGCAAAACAGAGTCAAACAACATAAAATTAGCTGTGGCAAACAATTTGATTTTTCTTAATATGTGTGCATTTGGAGGTGGGAAGATTAAATAGGGAGATAGTATGCATACCATGTACTCAGTATGTGTTTTACTCTTAACCCACTGAATAGCGCTGTATAGTATACGGAGTAATTTATATTGCCAGTACTATACTCCGCATTATTTGTTATCATATGTTTCATTATTGGGCTAGCAAATTATTGTCTAGCTTCATTATTAGCACGCTTCAGCCTTTCATTTTTTTTTTAAAGAAAACCTTATCCAATTAAATCAAAGTGTCATTTGCCAACTAGCTACAAATGCAATTAGGAACTGAATGGAAAATAATTCTACCATCGCATATGAAAGGTTAGCCCTTACTAACGTGTGAGCTACTCTATTAGCGACATCCTGAAGCAGAAGTCTAATATCATCAACAATAGGGTCTAGGAAGCTCCATTATCTCCTGAATAATTGGCTCCAGCCTTTCATTGTAAATACCTATTTATGCATTGCTTGCGTGGAAGTAATACACTACTTTCTCCGTAACTTAAAAATCTTATCATTTCAAAAGTAGGCAGATTAAGATTAGTGAATTATTGAGGGTATGATGGGAAGATAATGGAATAATGTGATGGAATGTAGGATAAATCCAAAAAAAGTAGTTGTGATAGTGTATTATTTTTAGAATTATTCAGGGTATGATAGGAAATTTTGAAATGGAATTTTTTTTTGTTACAAAAAGGAAAGTGTGAAGATTTTGTTGTTGTTGGGGGAGTAGTAATAGATATGGAGTATACGGAAAAGGGACTTCCCATCATTGTCAATTCTGTACAAGTTATCGGGACACATATTTGTTATCATCTTGAAATGAATACAAAATACGAAGTACTTAATATTATCTCCCTTCCAAAACAAAAGTTGGACATTTCTTAATATACATTTCTTACAAATAAGGATCCTACATCCATTTCATATTTTATTCGTGTTGAGTTTAATCCAACACGATATAGTAAATATATGTATAAATGTGTATGAACAAACTATTTTTACGTGGAAACCCGAAAGGGAGAAAACCACGGGACTTTTTAGGCTAATGTCCAAGCCCTCTCATTCTCATTAGGACTCTCCTCACCATTACATTGTACAATTTGAGCTCCCATTAATGGAGTATTGTAAGCTAGCTAGAGAGAAATAAGGAAGAAGAAGCTAAAAGAGCCTCCTTAATATGGAGGGAAGCTCCCATATTTATAGAGAATAGGGGGAGGGGATGCTCTCCACCCTAACGGGCCAAACGGGCCAATATCGGGCCTAATGGGCCGAAATGGGCCTAGCTGCTCGGGCTCCGTACTGGATAATGTCTTGGGCTCCTGAACAGTAATAGGCCAGGATAATATATCCCAACACAAGTCCCCCAGTTTCTTGAGTAGTGAGTGCGCGAATCTGCTCGAGAAAGTATATTCTTGCCTGCGCTCTGCCTCTCTCTAGCTGGAACCTGTGTCTTCGAATAATCATAATATATGAGTGGATGTCCACACTCCTGAACGTAATCTGCCGGTGAGGCACCCCCGTTCCCGACGGGGTCGGGCGAAGGGTGCTCCTCCACGGGCACGCTCCCCCTGAATGCATCAGGCGAGAGTAAAGGACTCTGACCCAAGCTTTCCAACGGAGAAGCTTAGTGGTCCATGCATCTATAAACCGACGTCGCGGTACTGTCAAAACATGATGCACGTGTGTATGTATGAATGTATGAGGTATGATGCATGAATGCATGAATGCATGTAATGTATGGGTGCAATGTATGAGAGAAGGAATGTGAGATGTGATCGAACACGAAGGCTCTCATCGATAACCCGGGCATGTCAGCGCCGAGAGGCAGACATGCTGCATAAGATGGTCGTCGCCATCCTAGAAGGGATAGGCAATCCGGAGATGAACCCGACACAATGGCACGGCGGGGCCGATTGTGCTGCATAAGAGACGTTCGTCGCCATCCTGGAAGGGATGGGCGGGCCGAACATGAGCCAGACACGATGGCGCTGAGAGGGCGATCGTGCTGCATAAAGACGTTCGTCGCCATCCTGGAAGGGAATGGGCGAGCCGAACCGTGAATCTGGACACGATGGCGCTGAGGGGCCGATCGTGATGCATAAGACGTTCGTCGCCACCCTGGAAGGGATGGACGAGCTGAACGTGAGCTGGGTACGATGGCGCTGAGGGGCCGGTCGTACTGCATAAGACGGTCGTCGCCATCCTGGAGGGAATGGGCGAGCTGAACGTGAGCTGGGTACGATGGCGCTGAGGGGCCGGTCGTACTGCATAAGACGGTCGTCGCCATCCTGGAGGGAATGGGCGAGCCGAACCGTGAACTGGGTATGATGGCGCTGAGGGGCCGATCATACCGCACAAGACGGTCGTCGCCATCCTGGAGGGAATGGGCGAGCCGAACCGTGAACTGGACACGATGGCGCTGAGGGGCCGATCGTGATGCACAAGACGTTCGTCGCCACCCTGGAAGGGATGGACGAGCCGAACCGTGAGAAGGGTACGATGGCGCTGAGGGGCCGGTCGTACTGCATAAGACGGTCGTCGCCATCCTGGAGGGAATGGGCGAGCCGAACCGTGAACTGGGTATGATGGCGCTGAGGGGCCGATCATACTGCACAAGACGGTCGTCGCCATCCTGGAGGGAATGGGCGAGCCGAACCGTGAACTGGACACGATGGCGCTGAGGGGCCGATCGTGATGCACAAGACGTTCGTCGCCACCCTGGAAGGGATGGACGAGCCGAACCGTGAGCTGGGTACGATGGCGCTGAGGGGCCGGTCGTACTGCATAAGACGGTCGTCGCCATCCTGGAGGGAATGGGCGAGCCGAACCGTGAACTGGGTATGATGGCGCTGAGGGGCCGATCATACTGCACAAGACGGTCGTCGCCATCCTGGAGGGAATGGGCGAGCCGAACCGTGAACTGGACACGATGGCGCTGAGGGGCCGATCGTGATGCACAAGACGTTCGTCGCCACCCTGGAAGGGATGGACGAGCCGAACCGTGAGCTGGGTACGATGGCGCTGAGGGGCCGGTCGTACTGCATAAGACGTTCGTCGCCACCCTGGAAGGGATGGACGAGCTGAACGTGAGCCGGGTACGATGGCGCTGAGGGGCCGATCGTACTGCATAAGACGGTCGTCGCCATCCTGGAGGGAATGGGCGAGCCGAACCGTGAACTGGGTATGATGGCGCTGAGGGGCCGATCATACTGCACAAGACGGTCGTCGCCATCCTGGAGGGAATGGGCGAGCCGAACCGTGAGTCCGGACACGATGGCGCTAAGGGGCCGATCGTGATGCAGAAGACGTTCGTCGCCGCCCTGGAAGGGATGGACGAGCTGAACGTGATCCGGGTACGATGGCGCTGAGGGGCCGATCGTACTGCATAAGACGGTCGTCGCCATCCTGGAAGGGAATGGGCGAGCCGAACCGTGAACTGGACACGATGGCGCTGAGGGGCCGATCGTGATGCACAAGACGTTCGTCGCCACCCTGGAAGGGATGGACGAGCCGAACCGTGAGAAGGGTACGATGGCGCTGAGGGGCCGGTCGTACTGCATAAGACGGTCGTCGCCATCCTGGAGGGAATGGGCGAGCCGAACCGTGAACTGGGTATGATGGCGCTGAGGGGCCGATCATACTGCATAAGACGGTCGTCGCCATCCTGGAGGGAATGGGCGAGCCGAACCGTGAACTGGGTATGATGGCGCGGAGGGGCCGATCATACTGCACAAGACGGTCGTCGCCATCCTGGAGGGAATGGGCGAGCCGAACCGTGAACTGGACACGATGGCGCTGAGGGGCCGATCGTGATGCACAAGACGTTCGTCGCCACCCTGGAAGGGATGGACGAGCCGAACCGTGAGCTGGGTACGATGGCGCTGAGGGGCCGGTCGTACTGCATAAGACGTTCGTCGCCACCCTGGAAGGGATGGACGAGCTGAACGTGAGCCGGGTACGATGGCGCTGAGGGGCCGATCGTACTGCATAAGACGGTCGTCGCCATCCTGGAGGGAATGGGCGAGCCGAACCGTGAACTGGGTATGATGGCGCTGAGGGGCCGATCATACTGCACAAGACGGTCGTCGCCATCCTGGAGGGAATGGGCGAGCCGAACCGTGAACTGGACACGATGGCGCTGAGGGGCCGATCATACTGCATAAGACGGTCGTCGCCATCCTGGAGGGAATGGGCGAGCCGAACCGTGAGTCCGGACACGATGGCGCTAAGGGGCCGATCGTGATGCATAAGACGTTCGTCGCCGCCCTGGAAGGGATGGACGAGCTGAACGTGATCCGGGTACGATGGCGCTGAGGGGCCGATCGTACTGCATAAGACGGTCGTCGCCATCCTGGAAGGGAATGGGCGAGCCGAACCGTGAACTGGACACGATGGCGCTGAGGGGCCGATCGTGATGCACAAGACGTTCGTCGCCACCCTGGAAGGGATGGACGAGCCGAACCGTGAGAAGGGTACGATGGCGCTGAGGGGCCGGTCGTACTGCATAAGACGGTCGTCGCCATCCTGGAGGGAATGGGCGAGCCGAACCGTGAACTGGGTATGATGGCGCTGAGGGGCCGATCATACTGCACAAGACGGTCGTCGCCATCCTGGAGGGAATGGGCGAGCCGAACCGTGAACTGGACACGATGGCGCTGAGGGGCCGATCGTGATGCACAAGACGTTCGTCGCCACCCTGGAAGGGATGGACGAGCCGAACCGTGAGCTGGGTACGATGGCGCTGAGGGGCCGGTCGTACTGCATAAGACGGTCGTCGCCATCCTGGAGGGAATGGGCGAGCCGAACCGTGAACTGGGTATGATGGCGCTGAGGGGCCGATCATACTGCACAAGACGGTCGTCGCCATCCTGGAGGGAATGGGCGAGCCGAACCGTGAACTAGACACGATGGCGCTGAGGGGCCGATCGTGATGCACAAGACGTTCGTCGCCACCCTGGAAGGGATGGACGAGCCGAACCGTGAGCTGGGTACGATGGCGTTGAGGGGCCGGTCGTACTGCATAAGACGTTCGTCGCCACCCTGGAAGGGATGGACGAGCTGAACGTGAGCCGGGTACGATGGCGCTGAGGGGCCGATCGTACTGCATAAGACGGTCGTCGCCATCCTGGAGGGAATGGGCGAGCCGAACCGTGAACTGGGTATGATGGCGCTGAGGGGCCGATCATACTGCACAAGACGGTCGTCGCCATCCTGGAGGGAATGGGCGAGCCGAACCGTGAACTGGACACGATGGCGCTGAGGGGCCGATCATACTGCATAAGACGGTCGTCGCCATCCTGGAGGGAATGGGCGAGCCGAACCGTGAGTCCGGACACGATGGCGCTAAGGGGCCGATCGTGATGCATAAGACGTTCGTCGCCGCCCTGGAAGGGATGGACGAGCTGAACGTGATCCGGGTACGATGGCGCTGAGGGGCCGATCGTACTGCATAAGACGGTCGTCGCCATCCTGGAAGGGAATGGGCGAGCCGAACCGTGAATCTGGACACGATGGCGCTGAGGGGCCGATCGTGATGCATAAGACGTTCGTCGCCACCCTGGAAGGGATGGACGAGCTGAACGTGAGCTGGGTATGATGGCGCTGAGGGGCCGATCATACTGCATAAGACGGTCGTCGCCATCCTGGAGGGAATGGGCGAGCCGAACCGTGAGTCTGGACACGATGGCGCTGAGGGGCCGATCGTGATGCAGAAAAATAGTGATGATCATCTCATGGCCCTCGGCCTGTCGGTGAGTGGTAATCGTCTTGCGGCCCTCGGCCGTGCTGGTGATGTGTCAAGTCTCTCTCCTGATTGGCTGTGAGAAGCCGATCGTCTGCCAGGACTCCATCCGGGAAGGAATGGTGAGCCTGAAATAAATCTGGGTGATGTCCCTCCTATCTGATCTGAGGAGCTAGTCTTCGTTCGTCTACCGTATCTGTGGTCCTATGTACGGACCGCTAAGCGGTGTACACTCGGCACGCACAGACTCCGGTAAAGAACTGGTCCATCGTGTCTGATCCATGGAGCTGGTCTTCGTTCGTCTACCGTATCCGTGATCCTATGTATGGACCGCTAAGCGGTGTACACTCGGCACGCAACAGACTCCGGTAAAGAACTGGTCCTTCGTGTCTGATCCATGGAGCTGGTCTTCGTTCGTCTACCGTATCCGTGGTCCTATGTATGGATCGCTAAGCGGTGTACACTCGGCACGCAACAGACTCCGGTAAAGAACTGGTTCTTTGTTCTTCCCAAGTCTCGTGAGTACTGGTCTCCTGGTTTCGCAGGAGACGTTTGTCATCCCAACTATGAGAAGAAACAGGTTTATCCACGTCGGGATTCCCAATTCTTCGTTCGTCCCTGTCGTGGTCCTACTAATCTTCTTACTTCGAAGAAGACGTTCGGTCATCCAACGATCGCAAGGAGGAATAGGTTTATCCACGTCGGGATTCCCTATTCTTCGTTCGTCCCTGTCGTGGTCCTACTAATCTTCTTACTTCGAAGAAGACGTTCGGTCATCCAACGATCGCAAGGAGGAACAAGTTTATCCACGTCGGGATTCCCTGCTTCGTCATCCCATGCTCGTGGCCCTACTAGCCTTCTGCTTTGGCAGAAGGTGTTCATCGAACCACGGGTCATGGGAGGAACTGGTTTATCTTGCCGAGGTTCCCTTTGGTACGTCTAGCCCCCCCCCCCCCCCCCCACGTTCCTACTAGCCTCCGCGTCGGGAGACGTTCGTCATACGCGGCGAAGGAAGATCAGGCATACCTCGTCAAGACTCCCTCTCTCATAGGATCTCGTCTCCCCTTCTCCCCATCTTTTTTTTTTCTTCTTCTTTTTTTTTTCTTTTTTTTTTTTTTTCTTTTTTTTTTTTGAGGGAGGAAAATACGTTCGTCGGTTCCAAGAATAACCACAAGTGATGTCACACATAATGTCATGCGAAGGCGATGGTCACCCTCGTGAAGGGAGGGGTGAGCCCGATCGCTAACTCAAGAAGGTCGGCATTGGGAGCCGATATACAATGATCATAATGTCACTGAGCAGTCGGTCCTGATAATGGAGATGACAATAGTGTCCGGTTAGGCCGATATATCCGAGCAACGGCTCTCATCCAACGCAGCGCGGGGATGAAACCGGTCTTCAAAAGATAAATATGTCGTGCCGAGAGGCCGAACATAACATGATAGCGTCGGCAGTGAGAGGCCGATCGTGATATAATAACATCGGTAATGAGAGACCAGTCTGAGAAAACAAGCAACGGCCGTCATCCGCGAGGAGCGGGGATGAAACCGGTCTTCAAATATGGAAAGCACGCCGAGCCGGGAGGCCGGTCGTGATATAACGGTGTCGGCAATGAGAGGTCGATCTGAGAAAACAAGCAACGGCCGTCATCCGCGCATCGCGGGGATGAGCCCGGTCTTCAAATAAAATAATCATGCCGTGCCGAGAGGCCGGTCATGATGTAATGATGTCGGCAATGAGAGGCCGATCTGAAATCAAGCAACGGTCCTCGTCCGCGCAGTGCGGGGACGAGGCCGGTCTTCAAATAAGATAATCATGCCGTGCCGAGAGGCCGGTCATGATGTAATGATGTCGGCAATGAGAGGCCGATCTGAAATCAAGCAACGGTCATCGTCCGCGCAGTGCGGGGACAAGGCCGGTCTTCAAATATGATGATCATGTCGTGCCGAGGGGCCGGTCATGATGTAATGATGGTGTCAGACGGCCCTCGGCCGTGACGATCTCTTCTAGGCCCTCGGCCTCTGAATGACGGGTGGTCGTCTCACGGTTCTCTGTCATGGCATTCGCCTCTAGACCTCGGCCTCTAGGTGTTCTTCCTAGGCCATCGGTCTCTGGGGTGGAGATGCTCGTCCCACTGCTCTCAACCGTGGTGGTCTCCTCTAGGCCCTCGGCCTCTAGGTGGAGATGCTCGAGAAAACGGACCCCACGTCGGGAAGGGGGGTGCCTCAGCCGTGATGGTCTCCTCTTTAGCCGGCCCTGCACGTCTTCAAGATTCGGGCCGAGCGTCTTCAAATCATTTCACTCGAGCGCGTCGAGCGGCTTCAGCTGCGCAATAAGCATGGTAACGGGCCGCACGACCCGACAATATGTATACACACATAACCATCCGCATGGTTTTCTTTCTAACACCCACGATTTCCGGCCTCTGGGTCATCGTGACCCTCGGCCCGGCTCATCGTGCGGGGTTAATGGACGTAGCAGCTCGCGGCGGGGCCAATTAGCAGCCCGCCGAACGTCACATAGAGATATTCACTGGTCTGTGAGTTTTCAAACTCAGACCCAAGTTGGTCGCACTGCCCTCGGAAAAAGGAGGTTGAGTGCTTTGGTGCCCTCGAGCCCCACAGGCCACGTTCGGCTATAGTCACTTCGCGCCTAGTGGCGTAGATTACATTGGGGTATGATCGTCGATCGGGCACGTAGTGCCATGCGGACTAATGCGCAACCCTCAAATTAAAATGCGTCGTCGGGGCATCGCCCTTCTGGAGACGCTCGGATCGCTTAATCAAGCTGATTGAGAGTGGGCCATCGGGCCCTCAAGAAATTAAATATTCGATAAAATATTGGCCGAACTAACTATCACTAGAGCTTCGCTCCGCATTATTTAATTCGGGAAAATTTAATCCCTTTTAAGTAATGGAGATAAAAATAGCAATAAAAATGCTACTTGAAATTTAATTAGCAATCACGAGATTCAATACTTAGCTTCAAAGAGATGCTCGGCCAGTGGAGTTTTATGGAGTCAGGTTTGCTCCCTATTGCCAATTTTGACTTGGTCAAAATTACCCCAAATGCTCTCATTGACCAAGTTTAATGCCTGCAAGCTGGCTGCCACACCCACGGTCAATATAGTAGCCCAGCTTAGCTACTGTAGCTTGTTACAAGGAGCCCATGAAGTGCATAGTACCGCAACGGCTGATCCGGACTCTACTCCTTCCGCTCTTTTCCTCGACGTGGCCAGCTTCCATCCAAGCGAAGGGCACCTTCTTTGGAGAGGCAGATGAAAGAACAAGTCCTCAACCAAAAAGCTAGCAGTTCGTGCTACCTCCAGAGAAGTTAACCCCTGGCGGAAGCTCAACCGAACTAGTGAACATATCTCTTCCGAGTTTGGAACCGCCATTAATGGCGGAAGTCATGGAGCTCTCAACTGGTACACCCCTCCGGCCGCGTCGGAAGAGAAGTTAGGGCCCAAGTGGCGACTGACCAGACGGATGGGTGACCAACAGCTCGCCGCCGCCAGCAACGAACGATGGTGCTACGTTTCAGTTGGAGAACCCAGCCCCGAGCGACGAACGGTGCTGCTGCAATGGAGTTCTCCTTGGATCGATATGATGAGACCTAGGAATCTTCAGCGGTCTCCATCTGGTGCGGTTGAGTTCACTGGATGTCCACCGTGGCGGGGATGGTGCGGCGGCTCCGGCGACCTCAAAACCAGATCTGGGAAAATCCAGATTTGGATAAACTCCAGATTCGTAGCCTTTTTCTATTTTCCAGAAACATTTTTTTTGTTTTTGTTGAAATCAGTCCATTTCGTATGAATCTTGCAGAACAACTGAAGAACACATGCAATCTTTTTGGACAAATTCCCACAGACGGCGCCAGTGTTGAGTTTAATCCAACACGATATAATAAATATATGTATAAATGTGTATGAACAAACTATTTTTACGTGGAAATCCGAAAGGGAGAAAATCACGGGACTTTTTAGGCTAATGTCCAAGCCCTCTCATTCTCATTAGGACTCTCCTCACCATTACATTGTACAATTTGAGCTCCCATTAATGGAGTATTGTAAGCTAGCTAGAGAGAAATAAGGAAGAAGAAGCTAAAAGAGCCTCCTTAATATGGAGGGAAGCTCCCATATTTATAGAGAATAGGGGGAGGGGATGCTCTCCACCCTAACGGGCCAAACGGGCCAATATCGGGCCTAATGGGCCGAAATGGGCCTAGCTGCTCGGGCTCCGTACTGGATAATGTCTTGGGCTCCTGAACAGTAATAGGTCAGGATAATATATCCCAACAATTCGTTTAGTTCATTTTAGAGCATTTTATTTCATCTAACTTACGTTTTCATTGCTACATTAAAAATCGTTAGGTTTTTATAGCCCACTTTCCTAATTAACCAAGGTGCACAAAAGTTTTGTAATAATATAACGAGAAAACTGTCAAATAGGTCCTCGAACTTTCATAATAAAATCAATTAAGTCCTTCTATAGGAGACTATGTCCAGTTGTCGCGATTTGGGGTGGTTCTCGGTGGAATTTTTTGATGAAATTTTTTGAGCATCTTATTCATCAAGTCTAGTTTACTCATACCAAATTTCAGTTAAAAATTTAATCGGGAGCGCATTCAAATTAATTCGAGAACGCAAAAATGCGCAGTTATCTTCAAGAATTAATTTGAATGTGTTCCCGATTGAATTTTTAGCTGAAATTTGGTATGAGTAAACTAGACTTGGTGAATAAGATGCTAAAAAAAATTCATCAAAAAAACCACCGGGAACTGCCCCAAATCGCGATGGCCGGACAGAACCTCCTATAGAAGGACTTAATTGACTTTTTTATGAAAGTTTGAGGACCTATTTGACAGTTTTCCCTAATACGGAGTATAACTTATTTTGGGATGAAGTAGAAATGTCTCTTCCTTTCATAAATAATTTGCACTTTCCCTTTTCTTGATCAACCCGACCAATTTTATTTATACTATAATTTGAAGTAGGGAAAACTGTCAAATAGGTCCTCAAACTTTCATAAAAAAGTCAATTAAGTCCTTCTATAGGAGACTCTGTCCGGCCGTCGCGATTTGGGGCGGTTCCCGGTGGAATTTTTTGAACATCGTATTCATTAAGTCTAGTTTACTCATACCAAATTTCAGCTAAAAATTCAACTGGTAACGCATTCAAATTAATTCGAGAACGCAAAAATGCACAGTTATCTTCAAGAATTAATTTGAATGTGTTCGCAATTGACTTTTTAGCTCAAATTTGGTATGAGTAAACTAGACTTGATGAATAAGATGCTCAAAAAATTTCATCAAAAAATTCCACCGGAAACCGCCCCAAATCGCGATGGCTGGACAGAGTCTCCTATAGAAGGACTTAATTGACATTTTATGAAAGTTCGAGGACCTATTTGACAGTTTTCTCTTTGAAGTATGAAACTATTATTGCATTAAAATCGTGTTTTTGTAATTCAATAAAAGTTTTGATACAATTCCCGAATGTGTAAATTTTGTGAGGGTGGAAGTATGTATTGTGACGGAGGAATATCTATATAATTTCAAATATTTAAATGATTACTAACTATGTAATTCAAAAATACTATTTATTTTGCAAGAGAAGAGGTATGTATCGTGCCTTTTACTAAATACTAGATTTTTACCCGTGCTTCGCACGGGATGCAGTTAGTAAGAAATAAATTATTTGCGAATATATAGAAATATTTAGATAAAAATAGATCAATGCATATATTATTTTTTACAAAAGTCAATGAAGAAAAAAAGAAATTACAAATTATTATACAAAAATAGAACATTTACAGTCTTCTCTTGGTAGGTTTTCCGTCATCATCACATATTATAAACTTCAATCGAAACGGGGTCGTTGCTCTTGAGACCGCAACGTAAAGTTGTTCACTTGTTCATGCATGGGTGAAAACCGGTCGGCGTAAGAATGCACCAACCCTCTACAAAGATTGTCTCTGACTCTTGTAGATGATCATCACGTAACTAAGCATCAAAGGAAACTGCTTACGCTGAAATGTAAACGATAGCTTTAGGTAAGATGGAGTCCAGCTAAGTTTCGGAATAAGAAACTTTTGATCTACATTTTTTCCTGACATCATCTGAGTCTCGAGAATATGTGTTCCAAGTTTAATGATGATAAGGTGAGTGACATTACACAATATGAGAGAATGATCAATATTTCTCATTAGCACCACATGTCTACTCACTTTTAGTTTCAGTTCATGGCTTAGCACACCAAAGCATTTAATTATTTTAGAAATTCTAAGAATGGATCTCTTGAAAGAGTGCATAATCCGAGTTAGAATTAGATGCAGAATCCGACACTGTGATTAATTATTAATGTTATTAGTTAATTCCAATTCTGGTTTAATATTTTTTTACTTTCATTTTCAATCTGAAAAACAACATATTTATCACCATTAGTTCAAACAATTTTTGGCATAAAGTAGTAAAGTTTAGCTTAATAATTTGCGTTTAAGTATAATATTAAAATACACTACTATAACAATGAAAGTATAAAACTTAACATAAGCATGAATTGAATTATAATGATTTATTAATTGTACTTTATAAATTTCAAATAGATAATATATCTGGCATTTATCTGCTCATGAGATGTGTATATATTTTTTATCAAATTAACGTATGTGCACCCAGAAGTAAACTTTTTTTGATACAGTTGTTATTATTGCACACGTTTCTACTTTTTTCATGGGTTGTTTTAATAATAAACTCATGAAATCATCTTTTAAAGAAAAGAATAGAAAAACATGTAAATCCATGTTGAAACAGAAAAAGAATATTCAGAATGAGATGTACTATAAGTCCATATAAGTCTTTGGCTAAACTCTTACCTTGGCATTGACATGAAATAATCACTTATATCATTCCAAAAAGGTATTAATATGCAATAGACATAAGATAACCATGTTTAATTGTACCCAAAACAAAATCATGTGAAAATAATCAAAGCATTTGAGGTACTTACGTGAGCTTAATATGAAAAAAATATTATGCTAAGACTTCCCTTGTATGCCCATTACATTGTTCCTCTACACATTGCAATTTATTATCTTATTTAAAAAAATGATGCACAAATTTGTTTATACACTTCTTTTATTATTAAAAGTAAAAGAAAACAAACTTTTGGGATCCCGGGAAAAATGAGAAATTGAGACAAAGGGGAGGGGGGCATGTAATCAATATGGGATGACAATTTCATTTGCATAAGTAATTGGCCGGGTAACCACAACGGATTAACTACAAATACAATTCATAGATTAATTCACACATCTAAACATATTGTACAAATTAAATTGCAGGTTTTCAGTGCTGGGGGAGCAGGTGTTGTAAATAGACAAAAAAAAAAATAACTAAGCAGATTATTAATGCCAAAGAAGGTAAAAAAAAACCAAAACAACGGTCTTATACTACATATGTCATATCAAAGCATTCAAATACTGACATCATCCATTATACTTGGGGTATTAGTTTTACAGGGCATCATCTATATAGCCTAACAAAGAGTACATTGAAGAGGAGCTTAGACTATATGAAAAAGAACATTTGTTATCCATAATACCAAAACATTCAAATACCAACATCATCCATTATATTGGTCTTACCGTGTACAGGGCATCATCTATACACCCTAAAAAAGAATACATTGAAGAAAGAGGTGCCTATAGAAGATGGAAAAGAACATCTACTATCCCTTGAAAGTCTTACATTGCATTCTTGAAGCAAGAAGTACTGGTCTTCTCTCATGTGAGTAGACATACCAGCTAATAATTTGCCTTTTTATCAACACCAAATGGAGTGATTTTTTATTCAAAAATCATGCGGGAATAAATCCAATCCACTGCAATCAATTTGTGTTGGAAATTAAAAACTACTTAAAATCATAACGGTTTGGAGTTTAAAAAACATTGGAGCAATTAACTCTATTATTAACTAATAAGCTCTGTTAGTTTATTCGCGTATAATTCGCATATAATACACTCAAACGTATAATTCGCGTATAATACTCCCGTTTATGAATTTTTAAAAAAATTCGGAAAAATTCGCGTACTTTAAGAATAAAATGTATAATACATGTACCGTACGTATTGATACGTATTTTATTCCCGTATAATACTCTTGTTTATGAATTTTTCAGAAAATTCTGGAAACCTCACGTACTTTAAGCATAAAATGTATAATACACGTACTATATGTATTGATACATATTTTATTCAAAAACACACACCATTAAACGGAAGCCTAATGTAGTGATACAACTGAAACGAAATGTTTAGCTGCTCAATATTATTTATATTGCTTAAAAAAATTATGCCTTATATGTTCGTTAATTGTTTCATAGTCATTACATTTAACAAATTAGCTTCTTAAATTCGTAATCCTTTTCAATACTACTATTGTACTACTAATGTTCTCCACACATACCAAGACTCCAAAGAGATCGTAAAATGTTGTGGCAGCTCACGAAACTCACGATCACAGTAATATCAATTATTCTCTAATAATATCTCTCTACTTCTACTCAAATAGGCAATGCCATTTTTATTACTTATTGTACTTATGTGTTCAAATCCGTATATATGAAAAAATTATTCCGTACATTTTAAATTGTTGAAGAATGTGGTTCAAATGCTAAATAGCTTTTTATTTCTATCATTAAATTAGTATATAAGACACATATTATATGCCGTATTTTTAAATTGTGAAACGTTTAAAACGCGTCCGTATCTTTATATATTTCACGAACGTATGAAACATATATTAAGCCGTATTTTATATAATTGTGTCGTATTATACACGAACGTACGTATTATTGTATTATTCACGAACCGTATATTCTAATAAGTACATTTCCAGTAAAACTAAATAATAATGAAAGATACACAAATTTGGTTATATTTCCAATAAAACTAAATAATTTTTTTTGCAAGAAAAACTAAATAAAATTAAACATTGTAAAGTAACATTTAAACTCGGGCTTGGAGAATACAACTAAAATATGGATCATTTAATGTACCTGTCTCAAGACCCACTAAATAATTTGATGGTGGAAGATTAGAACTTTTTTAAAAAAGCATTCTTAATTTAATGAATAACACAATTGGTCACGATTACAACGTGCCATATGGTTTATATTTTCAACCTATCATAAGGTTTGTAAATTTAAATACTTTTAAGAGTGGCTGAACATCATTTTGTTTCAAGGAAATACTCAAACATTTCCAAATGGATATATCAAACATAGCTTTATAGACATACTATCTTC